GCACTAAAATACTTTTAAATACTTGATTCCATGAGTCAGTTTTTTGTAGTTTTTGATTTCTGTAAAATAAGAGAAACTTTTGTTTTTATTATTGAATAAGTGAATGAAGCTAGAGGAAATAATAAGTGAATGAAGTTTACCTGCACATGTAACCCTAAACTTAAAGCAAAAGCACAATACTACCAAAACCTGCACATGTAACCCTAAACTTAAAGCAAAAGCAAAATACTACCAAAAATACATTTGAAAATTGTAAAGGCCAGGCGCAGTGGCTCACGTCTGTAATCCTAGTGTTTTGGGAAGGTGGATTGCCTGAGGTCAGGAGTTCGAGACCAGCCTGGCCAACATAGCAAAACCCCTTCTCTACTAAAAATACAAAACATTAGCTGGGCCCACACCCACACAATTACATTGCGGGTGCCTGTAATCTCAGCTCTGAAGGCTGAGGCAGGAGAATCGCTTGAACCCGGGAGGTGGAGGTTGCAGTGAGCTGAGACCATGCCATGGTACTCCAGCCTGGGCAACAAGAGTGAAACTCCACCTCCAAAAAAAAAAAAAAAATTCAAACAAAATGGATATTTCTTTCTATATATGTTTTTTAATTTTAATTTTTATAGCTTTTGAGAATAGGTGGTTTTAGTTACATGGATAACCAATCATCTTTATTGGTGATTTCTGAGATTTTGTTGCACCTGTCATCTGAGCAATGTACACTGTACCTAAAATGTAGTCTTTTATCTCTTACCCTTTCCACCCTTTCCCCCAAGTTTCTGAAGTCCATTTTATCATTCTAGACTTTTGTGTCCTCATAGCTTAATCCCACTTAAAAGTGAGAACATACTATATTTGGGTTTCCATTCCTGAGTTACTTCACTTAGAATAATGGCCTTCAACACGATCCAAGTTGCTGCAAAAGCCATTATTTTATTTATAAGTCATTTTATTTATAATTATTTACAAATAATTTATTATTTTATTTATAAGTCATTATTTTATGACTGAGTAGTATTCCATAATGTATATAGGTCACATTTTCTTTATCCACTCATTGGTTGATAGTTATTTAAATTGGTTCCATATTTTTGCAATTGTGAATTGTGCTGCCATTAACATGCCTCTGTGTGTGTGTGTGTGTCTTTTTTGTGTAATGACTTCTTTTCCTTTGGGTAGATAGTAGTGGAATTGCTGAATCAAATGGTAGTTCCACTTTTACTTCTTTAAGGAATCCCCATACTGTTGTTTTCCATGGAGGTTGTACTAGTTTACAAGCCCATCAGTAGTGTAAAAGGGTTTCCTTTTCACCACATCCACACCAACATTTATTATTTTTTGATTTTTTATTTATGGCCATTCTTGCAGGAGTAAGGTTGCATCTCATTGTGGTTTTAAGTTGCATTTCCATGAAATAGTGATGATGAACATTTTTTCATATGATTGTTGGCAGTCTGTATGTCTTCTTTGGAGAATTGTCTGTTCATGTCCTTTGCCCAGTTTTTGGTGGGATTATCTTTTTTTTCTGTTTGAGTTCCATGTAGTTACTGAATATTAGTCCTTTGTTAAATGCAGTTTGTGAATATCTTCCCTCACTCTGTAGTTTGTTCGATAACTGCTGATTATTTCTTTTGCTGTGCAGAAGCTTTTTAGTTTTATTAGTTCCCATTTATTTATTTTTGATTTTGTTGCATTTGCTTTCAGGTTCTTGGTCATAAATTATAAACTCTATTCTAAGTCTAGAAGAGAGTTTTCTGATGCTATCTTCTAGAATTTTTATGGAGATCTTAGATTTAAGTATTCAATCCATTCTGAGTTGATTTCTTTATAGTGTGAGAGAGGATGATTCAGTTTCATTCTTCTACATGTGGCTTGCTAATTATCGCAGCTCCATTTACTGAATAGTGTCCTTTCAGTACTTTATGTTTTTATATGCTTTGTTAAAGATAAGTTGACTGTAAATATAAAATACATAAATTTTTGAAGTGTTGAGAACACTTTGGAAAAAATCTATCTATAATGTGTCTCTATATATGCATGTATATGTATCACATGTGCACACACACACACACACACACACACTCTGATATGGTTTGGCTGTGTCCCCACCCAAATCTTATCTTGAATTCCCATGTGTTGTAGGAAAAACCTGGTGGGTGGTAATTGAATTATGGGGGCAAGTCTTTCCTGTACTGTTCTCATGAGATTGAATAAGGCTCATGAGATCTGATGGTTTTAAAAATGGGAGTTTTCCTCACAAGTTCTCTGTCTTTGCCTGCTGCCATCCATGTAAGACATGACTTGCTCCTCTTTGCCTCCTGCTGTGATTGTGAGGCTTCCCCACACATGTGTAACTGCAAGTTCAATTAAACCTCTTTTCTTTCGTAAACTGCTCAGTCTTGGGTATGTCTTTATCAGCAGTATAAAAACTGACTATTATGCACACATTATATATAAAAATAATGTGTATATATACCTACATTATATATCTGTGTGTATATATACACACACACACATACCTATACATACATATATACAGATACACACGCACACACACATATATATAGATAAACATATCATCTGTTTATCTATCTTCTATCCATCTTCTATCTGTATTTGTGGGTACACATCCCACAGATAGCCCTGTTTGTTTATGGAGGAAAGTAGAAAGGTAAGAACTATATTAGTTGCATACAAAATAATAATCTGACAATTAAATGTTCAGCCAGTATCCTAGAATCAGGGTTGAATTCATTTTTCTATATATTACATGTGCCCATTCCATTTGTTAATATCTATATATTACATGTGCCCATTCATCAAGTTAATAAATATTTACCACATATCTACTACATTCTGATTATTTTACTAAATGTTATGAATCCCATTTTGAACAAAACATAGCCCTTCCTTTCAAAGACCTTAGAATTAACTGGAAGAAACGGGAATACAGGAAATAAAATACAGAGTCAAGGGCTGTAATGGGGTAAGTAGAAAGTTCTATAAGAAGAACTAAGCAATGACTCTAGCCTTAGGTTAGAGAGTCTGTCAGGGGAAGAATTTTGACTGTACCTTTATCATCATACTCTATTTCTGCCTGCCTCCATTTTCACTACCAATTTCAGAAATGCAGTTCTGCATTCTCAGAAATTACATGTGTTAATTAGGCAAATTGGAGAGAGAGAGAGCAGTGTAACATGGAAGCATGGGGCTGCAGAGTCAGGTTTATTGGGTTCAAATCCCAAGTCTACCATATTCTCAGTCTTATGTTGGACAGTCACTTAACCCCTCTGTGCTCTGCTTTTGTCATCTGTAAAGTATTCCTGGTCATACCACATAGTGATGACAGAATTACATGAGAAAACAGATTTTAACACCTATAAACTAGCAGAAAGTACATTCTGAATAGGTTTCATTTCTCATTGCTCTCATTGTTGCTACTACTACTAATGCCTCATCTAGGATATGGAGGATCCCTGGTCATTGAAAAAATTTTATACAGATCCAGTTTCCTATTCTCCAGAGCCTTCCCTCTTGATGTCAGTGAGGTTGTCACCAATGGCACTTTATCACCTCTTCTAGGTCTGGGATGTAAAATCCTCAGTGCCCTAAATAAGAATGAACAGATATCACAACTAAAAAAGCACACTGTTCCCTTAATATTAAACTACTCCCAATTATATAAAATTTGATTCTTATGATTTCAGGTAGATGGATATAAAATAATGTAATAGAGAACTTTGAGAAAAAAATATTTTGACCAAAGTATGTATCATTTTTATATTAACAACATGATTGCCACACTTTAGCTAGGCATAATACATTTGAAACACTTTTATTTCTTTCAAAGAGCAGCAGGACTGGAGCAGGGAAACTGAGGAGGAAAACAGCCTCACCCACCTGATAGAAATTGGACATAAGAGCAATTGAGAGGGGGCATTTGCTTCCTGACCTACGGGAGAGCAAAGAGCAAGAACACCTGATGTTGTAGGGGACAAACTTTTAGCAAATCAACTTCTAACATCATTCTGGATAATGGCTTCACTGAGAATCACAGTTAAAGGAGCTTGAAATGTTAAAAATAACATCAGGACTCTCACAGTGCAAGTTTTGATCACTAATGAAACCAGCATTCCTGCTATACAAGCTACGAAGGTGACTGTCCTTTGAGCCTCTGTGTTTTCAAGAACAGACAGCCGTGGAATGAAACAGCCATGAGCTGTGGGAGATGTCCTTGAAATGCATTCATTCTGTGGGAGAAAGGACTTGGGCTGCTGCTGCTAATGCATACACCTTTCTCTGTGGCTTTGGCATTTCATAAGGCAGGCCACAGGTAATTCTCCAGGAATGTGACCATGGCCTCATTTTGGTATCAGCTATTTTAGTTTTGTTGAAGAATAAAATAGTTTTAAATTGTATATATGTCAGCTGTGGGATTCTGAAATAGGGAAACTGAATGTTTACCAGCAGGCATCCTTACTCTGCTCTTTTTTTTGGATCTGAAAGCAAATATCCCAAAGGAGAGCCCTCCACTGCAAAATGGCACTTTGGCTGGTAGGTCAGGCATTTTGTTTAATGGTGGTGCCATGGTTCCAAATATTAGCCTTTCCTCTTTGCAGACTGTCTTCAGAGTCAGTTTGAAATGCTCACTAGTGAACCAATCTATGTCCTTATTAAAGACCTTACCTGTGTCTGAATCTCTTAAAATGATTACCTGCTGACCTCAGCTCCAATTACCTTAAGTTGCCTCCTGTAGCCAAGTCTTCCTTCCAAAGTATAATTCAGCACCATTTAAACATATTTAAGATAAAGTTAAAGGTAAGTCCAGAAGAGTGGCTCATGAAATGTCTACAGCAATACCAGCATCACTGGAATAATTATATAACTTGCTTAGGTGGCTATTTTGAAGGGGAAAGCTTTCACTTTTGGTGTGTAAGTTCTGGTGCATTTGGTTAAAAAATATTAAGTCATATTACCACATAATCATATCTCTCTTTTTTAAAAAACAGGGCCTCTCTCTGTTGCCCAGGCTGGAGCGCAGCGGCACAGTCATGGTTCACCACAGCTTTGACCTCCAGGGCTCAAGGGCTTCTCCCACCTCAGCTCCTTGAGTAGCTGGGACTACAGATAAGCACCATCACACTCCAGTAATATTTTCTTTTCTTTTTTATTTTTTTTGTAGAAATGGGGTCTTGTTATATTCTCAGGCTGTATAATCTTATCTTCTATGCTAATTTGTCTTTATCTACAACACAAGGCTACTTGTTTAATATTCTGTCTGCCATGTGTATTTCATAAGTTTCTGGGAGTTATGGACTTACAGTCTGATCTCTCATAGGGCTTAGGAATGTATTTGTTTCATGGATATAACTCCTTTTGATGCCAAAAAAAGAAATTACTATCCAGCAGTGATGCAATTTAATTCATAGTGGATTTCAAGTACATATGAGTACAAAAGGATGAATTAAGGCCTATTCCAAAGACATTTTATTTATCTATTTATCTACCTTCTGATTTATGTATTTATATTTATCTATGTTTACCTCTCTATTTGGAAACAAAAAGAAAGAGAATGTGAGAGGATGGGAAGGAGGAGAAGATGAGGAGGAGGAGATGTAGGAGGAGGAGGAGGAGATGTAGGAGGAGAAGGGAAAAATGGATATGAAATAATTTAAAGTCTACAATGAACACTTCAGCTTAGAGTATGAAATTTTAAGCTTGAGGAAATAATACTTTTATACCTGAGGGCTGACATGTCAGAAAGACCCTAAACAGTTTATTTCTTTTAGAAGTTTTTCAGAAAAAGCATTTGTTCCATTCTTTCATCTTTTTAGATAAAATATTCTAGACACTCCAGACTTAACACATGGTTAATAAAGGAAGAACACATACAAATAAAAATGCTCTACAAAGAATTTAGAGCCTCAAAGTTTATATGACATCACCTGCTAGAATCAATCATCAATCAAAAATACTTGAAATCTATATATTCTCAAGGCCATACATAAAACCTGGCCGATTACAAATAATGTCACCATCAATTTCAAGGATTCCATCTCTGACACTTTCTTCCTTTCCAGAATACTCCTTCTTGTCTCCCCACTCTGTGGTCCTTCCATCTGTGGACGCAGACACCTTGCTAGTATCCTTTACCATCCTCTTGCCACCTTATCCAATTTGTAGTCCATGGCTCTTCACCTTCCTTTCTCTTACATTATACTTCCTGAAAAAACAAAAAACAAAAAACAAAAAACCTAAGGTGGTTACATTCAGCTCTCTAACTACAGTGCTCCTGGTATGCAACAGATGTACATGGATATGGTGAATACACAGCCATGCTAACTGGCCTAATGTTAATAATCAACACTAATTTCAAGGTGGTCATTTATTGTGCTTATTAGTCTCACTCCATTTCCCTAGTCAATTTACTTTGCCACTTTCCAGTATAACTATTTTGTACCTCTCCACATTTTAATGTTCAAAACAGGCTCTCCAGCACCTAATTCTCAGTTAATTTCCATGTCTTTTCTTTTTTAACCAAGAAAATATATTGTATTATCTGTTGAATTGGAGGTTGGGCTGCTTTCATGTTGGTTTATTACCAAGCAGCAAACACATTGTGCAAAGGGTAGACAAGGTCAAGATGGCAAGCACATAGATACAGCTGCCCACTCCTTCCCTAGGTATGCTAAATTTAGTTCAAAACAACTTGCATGGATTGAGGTATCCACGTGGTCAGAGGAGCCCAGAAATATAAAGGCTCACTGTTTCTCATACTTCTAGCTGGGACAGCAGCCCTGCCAACTCTCAAAGGTCTACTGCACAAACTACAAGAATTTTATCTCACAACTCATTAGGTGGAAACTAATGAGTTGTGAGATAAAATATATCCTAAATTCATCACTTCTGCTGCATCTTCCTTAGTCCAAGTCACTATCACCTATGAACTGTACTATTGCAGAAGCCCCCATTTTCACTCTTGCTGGCCACAGTCTGACAGCCAAATAATCATTTTAAAGCAGAAATCAGGGCCTGGGTTTCCATTGTTCACAACTCCCAGTAGTTTCCCATTGCACTTGAAATGCCATCCTAGGTCACTGTGACAGCCCCACACATGATCTTCCCTGGCTCCCTTCCCAACGTCATTTATGAGTGTTCTCTCTGCTACTCTTCTCACCTTGCTTCGATTCTCCTGGCCACATTGCTGCTGCTCAGACACACAAAATATGTTTGTCCCTCAGTTCCCTGTATTTGCTGTTCCTTGAACTATTGTATCTCATACCCAACATGTTCACAGGTTTCATCTCTCAAGTAAGTAAGGTCTCTACTCAAATAACACTTCATCAGAAAAGTCTGCACTGACAACTTATCCAGAAGTTTCTGCACACAAATACATACTCTCTCTTTTCTTCTGCTGTTTTACTGTTTTCTTATCATTTGTGACTACCTAAGATTGTATTATATATCAGCTAATTTACCTATGTGTTTCTTCTACTTAAAGATGTGAGATCATAAAGGCAAGAAATATTTGTTAACTCTTGAATTTCTTGTGCCCAAAATAGTGTCCATAATACCTTAGAGAAGTAGTAAAATGTTTGTTGAATAAATGAACAAATCGTTGTCCTTTTACTTACTCCAGCTTATTTTAATTAAAACACTGTCAGTTGCTGAAATGCTATTGAAATTCAGGAATTTGCTTTTTCACTTATGTCTCTGCTGGGATTGTAAGCTTCATATAGAAAGAAGGTGAGGAAGAATTGTCCCTCTAGATAAATAAATTATTCTCAACTGATTACTGCATCTAAGAGTGATCCATTACTGAATAGCAGCAAGAATGTCCCAATTATTCACCAAGTTTTGCAGCCTTATTCCCCGATAATACAAAGTTATTATTATACTCTTCCCTTAACATTTATCCCTTCACTATGGGACAACAATTGAGACTAGATTCTAGTCACACCAGCGAAAGTTTAGAAGTTTCTCTTTACTTTCTGTTTACCTTTCATCTTTCTCCCCACCCATTTATGAGGTAAGTGGTGCAGAGGTCTTTGTGCCCATTCTTTAGATAGTGAGAACTATGCCTCAAGATGTAATAAATTGCCCAGGATCACACAGCTCACAGTAGCAAAAGTGGATTCCTATCTTTACATTCCTACTTCCATTAATATTTGCCACTGTGATCTAGGCGAAAACATAAGCTGCATTGTAGTAGCAGCTCCAGGTCACCTAATAGGCCACTTACAGAATGCCAGTTGGCATCAAAACATTGATTCTCTCCACTTTTTTATCGATCTTAATATTTAAGATTTTCTGAATAAAATAAATGTTTATACTTCCCATTAGAAAAAATAAAAGTAAAAGCATTCTTACTATTAAAAAAAAAACAATACCAATGTACCAATACCAAAAATTATTTTAGCATAATATAGAGCATCTTCTCCCAAAATGCCTTCTGTGCCTTAGCCCCTTATTTCTCCTACGTGTGGAGATTTAATTTGAGAATACTTTTACCTCTGTTTTCTTTCTGCATGGCTCTCACCATGTACCTAGTTCATAAACACTTCTAATTATGGAGAAATACCTTCTGCAATTTGATGTCTCTTAGCCACATTTTATGGCAGTTTCCATGGCAAACTTTCCATTAGAATGTCTTCATAATTTATCACTGTAGGATGTATAAACAATGAACTGTTTTTCACCTTGGTGAATGAAGAAATGGGAATGTGACTCTAATAACAATTTTATCCTAGCAATGGCAATAATTCTGAGACCACCAACAGCATAATCCTGCCTGACATGGCATCCTAGAGATTTCCAATGCATGATGGCAATAGGTGGTAGGCAATATGCCTTTCAATTGTTCCCAATAAAATTTTGACAAAGGCAAGACAGGCTCTTATTACTCACAGCCAAGTCACAGATTGTGACACTTGAGGGCTGGAATAGTTAAGAGCCATAAAATCCTGTCTTCTCATACAACTTGCTGCTGTGCTCATATTCATGAACAAGCTGTCCTTCCCTTGTACACAGTGTTACTTATTGCTCCCAGTGGGGAGTAATGGAAACCACATTTTATATACATTTCCAGCAGCATCATGAATATTGACATCTTCCCCTCCTCACACCATTAGCATTCCTGTCTAACTGGTTAATGGAAAACAACACCACAGAACAAATGCTGAGTGCACTTACAGTTCTATATGTTACAATACACAAATATACCCCTTGCCATGGAAGTGATCTTCTCTAATCTCCTAAAATTCGAATAAATCTATAATTAGTGTTGGAATTTATATTTTTATAACAAGGCAGGTATTCAATATTTAGGAATGGAGGATATGAAGGTAAAAAATGTTTCTTCCTCTACCACATACTCTTACATCTGGACATCTAGAGAGAAAGTAAAGAGAAGTTTCCAAACTTGTGCTGGTCTGAATGGAATCTAGTCTCAGTTGTTGTCTCACAGTGGAAGGATACATGTAATGGGAAGAGTTTAAAGACCACTTTCTATTATCAGGGAATAAGGTTGCAAACTATTGGTGAATTTTTTTGGGCATCCTTCCTGCATTATGCAGTAATGAATCCATCTTAGATCCAGTAATCAGTTGAGAATGATTTATTTATCTAGAAGAACTATTCTTCCTCACCTTCTTCCTACATGAAATGTACAATCCCAGAAGACACATAAGTGAAAAAGCAAATTTCTGAGTTTCAGTAGCATTTCACCAACTGGCAGTTGCAGATCTTCAAGTTAATCTGGCAACCTCTTTCTTTTCACAGGTGAGGAGACAGAGGCCTGGAAGAATGCAGTGCCTTTTTGCAGTTATTCATGTTTTAGGACCATTCTTCTTTATCAAGCTTTAGAACAAAATCATGGTAAGATTTACTGCACTATTCACCGTGCAATAACCAAGCTTTGTAAGTGAAGTTATAAAGACAGGTAACTTCACTCTTGAGGAATGGTATTATTCAGACAGAAATTTATATTAATTAAAAAGTGGTTAATAACACAAACAAGCAGAAAAATATAAGGATGTCTTTCTCCATTAACTGAAGTTTTATAAAGGGAAATTTCTGTAACTGACATTCCTGTATATTTTTCTGTCACAGCTAACAGCATGAGAATGTTCCTGGCAATGCTCTCCTGCTTCAGTATTACTTAGAGCCACACCTGGACGTAGGCAAAATAAGAAAGTGAAGAAGGCTTATTTGTCCTATGTGGATCATTCTGATCATTCTAAATTAAATGTTTGATATGGGGTATAGAGACATCTAGCTATGGCATATTTAAAATATTAAAAGGATTTAAGATCTGAAAAGATAGAATCTCCTTGAGTTTATCTTGTTCGTATCTTTCCCCCACCCTCACACATTTCCCAGCTGTTATAAGATGCAATAGTTACCAAGAAAGATGCTAGTGAAGGTTGGCTTATAACAGATTCTTATGAATATCTCAAGCTCTGGCAGCAGTAAATGGCTTCTTACTCAATTCTCACAGATTCTGAGTTCTCTGTCCCTATGAAACCACAGCTGTATGTGTCTTAGTTTACCTAACCCAATATCAACCATAATGGCTCAAAAAGAGAATGATAATAGAAAAAACAGTTATTGCATACACTTTGGCAACTAAGGTTATACTCTTTTTTAGCCATTATAATTGATTTGTTAAAGTCAATTATCAATTATTATGAATCTATCTTAACTATAATTTACACAAATTATTTTTAATGTAGTTACTTATATTGATAGATATAATGAAATTTTAAAAAATCTTTTAACTTACTGATAGTATTTTTTTATTTGAATAAGTCATACTAACTTAAAACCCTTATAAACATTCAAACTATAAATTATAGAATTTAAATTAGTCATATCACAATTCTTCATGCTGTTTGAGGAAATACAGGAATACAGTAGAGTGAAAAAAAATCTTAGAATTCTCAGGCGTGGTCTTCAGTGCTAGCTAAACTTTTTCTTAGCCTTGAAAACTTGGGCAAATTACCTATCTTTCATAATTTCTCTATCTATAAAATGATAAGACTAAAATAAACAATTTTGCATGTGCATTTCAACATTGAGATTTTATGAAATATGTAACAGTGAATTAAAATCCATTATTGATAGAAAGTCTTAGTCAGAAGCCCTGTTAGACACATGTTACACACACATACATGCACAGACAAAATTACTTTCTTTGTCTTGTGATTCTGCACATTACTGCAGATTCTGTTTAGAAACTGCAGACGTTACAGAGATAAACACAAAGATATTTGTCAAAAATTGATGATTGACTGTAGCCTTTCTTCACATAATTGATTAAAATATATTCATAGTGTTATTATATTCTATTCTCAATAACCTACATCATTTAAAAAGTGGGAAAATATGAACATACTTTAGCATTGTATAGACAAAAAGATTAAATTTTTCAGAGGAAATAAAATATATTAAGTATCTTAGAAAAAAGTCAAAAATTTTGCCAAAGAGCTACTGTCTTCCTCCCAAAACACCAGACCCAGACAATTTCACAGGGAAATTCTGCTCATCTTCAAAGATCAGAGCAGTAGAAGTTGCCTAAATTATTCTAGATCACTGAGAGAGAGAAAGAATTTTCATTTCTTTTTGCCCAAGGCCAGTATTGCACTGATAATATTGCATAAAGCTACAAACCAATTTTACTTGTTAATACTGATGTAAAAATTGAACTAAAAATTACATTTGCAAATGGAATTCAGCAACACATAAAAGAAGACTATATCACAATGAAGTGCAGTTGTATCCGGAATGCAAGGATGGTTCAGTTTTAGCAAAACCATTAATAAAATTTCTGTTAATAGATATCAAAGGAGAAAAAACATATATGCCTTTCACTATCTGTGAAAGGTATTTTTAAATTGTGTTTGGTAAAATTTAAAAGGTATATTTCATAAAAATTATTAATCAAATTTTATACAAATAGATACTCTGATTATATATATATATAATATATAATATATATTATATATTATATATATATATATAATCAGAAACCGGAATTTTTCTTAGCAACAGCATATTAGTTTTGTAAATACTAGCTAATAAAATTTGATGTAAGAAAAAGATACAGATATAAAATATTATGATTGTATGCAGATGGTATGCTTATATATTTGAAAACTCAATGAAATTAACTAAAAATAATTATTTACAAATTAATTATGTATTAGATTATAAAATTGATATTCAAAAATTAATCTTTTCTCTAAAGACCCCAGATTAAAAAATATAATAAAAGAAAAAAATCTTGTTATAATGATCGTAATATTCATAAAATACCTAGAAATAAAATTAATTAAAATACACAAGAGCTATATGAAATAAAAACTAACTGTGTACAAAGACATCAAGGATTTGACATTTTTACCAAAGTAGACTTTTGTATACTAAGAAGATAAGGATTAAAAAAGGCAAGCATGTAAAAATATTGATTATTCTTAAATTAGACTATCAGTGAAATTAAATACTAATTATTAGATGGTATATTAATTTGTTTGGAAAAAGATGACATCTTTATAGGTAGAAAAATAAGATTCAAGACTGGTCAAGACATATCTGAAAAAGATGAATAAGAAGGCATGTTGTTTTGCATTTTTTAAGCCATATTCAATTTTTGATGCAAATATATAATCTATTTACCTATCTATCTGCATACCAACATATCTATCTGAGTTACATATATGAAATTGCTCATTTTCATTTCTTCTTCCTTACAAAAATGACTATCATATATAACTCAACACAAAATGTAGGTGACATTTCAAGTCAACGGAAAAAAAATGTTAGTTCACAGAAAATACATTTAAATGCATGAAAACCAACTCAGCCTCATTTATAATCAATGCAAGGTATGTTTAAAGATATATAGCATTCTTTTAACCTTTCAAATAGACAAGGAAAAGTAAGTTTAGAGCTACATGTGTTGACAACTATATGGGAGATACGCAATGTTATACATTACTGGTGATTGTTTACAAAATTGGTACCAATTGTTAGTAAAGTAATTTAGTAATATCTGTCAAAACATCTGCAGGCATTTTCCTCTAAAAATTTCCATTTAAGAAATTTATTTCACAGGCGTATTTGAACACGTGTGCAGAAATTCTATATTTATGTAAATATAGAATTTTATATATTAGTAAAATATATATGTGAATACTACTACTATGTAGTATTTATTGTTGCATTGTTTATAACAGAAAAAAAAAGAAACCATGCAAATGTCAACCAAGGAGATAGACTAAGTAAATTTTGGAGTTTATGTATTATAGAATGAAATGTTTTCATTAAAATGAATGAAGTAGACATATATATATGTGTATATATACACGTGTATATATATATACACAACTTTCTATAGATATTTCCAGAGTAAGTTGAAAAAGCAAGGAATAGAACAGCATGGATGTCATATACTCAGTTGAGTAAAAAATTCTAAAAAGTACGAATATATAAAAACACATATAGAACTCTTTGTAAATGTGCAAACTAACTCTGAAAGGCTAAACTGAAACCAGGACCCGTTGTTTCTCAGAGAGAATGAGGAAACTGGAGATTTAGAGTGAGAAGGAGACAAAATTGATGTCCCTTGCACTGTTTGAATTTGTATAATACTGTTAAAAACATCAATACTTAAAAAACAAAACAAAGCAAATATTTGCCCTATAAAGTTTGGGATGAATTTTGGTTTCATTTTAACTATTATAAAAGTCAAATATAAATGTAAAGAGCTGTTTGTATTTCCATTAAATAATAAAATGAGTTGACAAATAATCCTACAACAAAATTACCATTTCTCTGGGGAGTAGGGGTGAAGAAATGGGACACAGCTTCCTTGATGAGTAATAGAAAAATTATCTGAAATATTTTTTGGGTGAAAACCTGGTGGGCACAGTGTGCCTATTTTCTTGTGTCCCACAAACATTTCTGTGAATGGGGGTACACTGTCCCAGACTCATTCCAAAACTCACATATGAAGTTTGCATTTCTTTTTGGAAAAAGCATCTGTGGAAGAAGTCCGAATGAAGAGAAAGCTTTTTTCATATTTCCTTCTCACTCTGCAATAGTAGCACCAGCAGGATTGGAAAATAATGTTCGAGTCTGAAGGCACATACGGTAACTACAGAGACCTCCTTTGATACTTCTGAAGTCATTTTAAATGGGGCCATCCATTTTGCCTGAGTTGCACACCCCATCCAGAACCTAGTACAGTCATCTATTGTTGCCCGCTGATCACCCGTTCCTCCCATGATCTTTGTGTTTGATCTTAGAGATATTAAGCAGCATGGAGAGCAAAAGCATCCTTGGGTACCCTGCCACCTGCCCTCCTCAATTGACTTGATGGAGGGAACCTTTTTATTTGCCATTTACCCACTGCCAGGGAGGGTATGCTGGGGTGAGTGGTGTATGTCTGAAGAATTCAGCAGGGGGTTCAGCCTGTAAAAAGATAACCGAGTTAAAACACAGAAAACCGTAATGCTTTAAAGCGAGGAAGTGATGTCAACCACCAGGTGATCCCCTTAAAGATCGGAGTTCCACTAAGTGGTTTAAACAATTGCTTCATGGGATATCTTCGCTCTTTCCCTGAAGGGTCAACTTGGTCTGAGAACTCATCTCAATGAACTCAGCGGGTAGTGCCAACAACTCTGTAGCTTATACAGAGTTTTTCTGTTTCTTTCTCTTTTTTCATTTGGACTGCAACACTGAAGTAACTGCCTTATGAATAGCAGTCTATGCCTAGATACTATTATCTGCCTATGCAGCTTAGGTCAACAGCAAAGGAATAGTAGGCCCTGGAGTCCTAGATGGCTGGGGTTGGTAACAACTAGATGGCTGTTACTGCCCAACAGTGGAAAACTAGGCTATGCTCACAGAAGATGGGGAGTGGCCTGTAGAGGAGCGCAGCATCAGTAGCAACTGGAGAGAATGGGACAAAGCAAGCATCTGTAGCTCTCACATGGAGTTTAGTGCAGTACTGGGAAAGTCAGGTGCCAGCTCTTAGAGTCATGTCTTGGGGGTGGTAACCTAGCATTCCTTGACTCTATTTTCTTCGGTAGACTCAAGTGGAAACTAATCAATCTGTGTAGAAAATGGCACTCTGTCTTTTAGTTTCTGAATCAAGTGGAATAAATACAAATTAACTTAAACAAAATTTTCCATTTTGAAAACAAAATTGAATTCGTCCCAATGAAATCAAATTGTTCTTTCTGCAATAATCCTTATGTATTTGTAACATCTAAAATGATACCATTTGTTGCATATTATGAAACATATCTAAAATCTAAATAGTTTTTCAATTAGAAGAAATGCATATTCCTGCTACATCAGTTGAACAAACTAACCAATGAGGTCAGACCAACCATTTTCCAGCATAATCCAGGTAACACAGAGATGGTGTCCAGGTTCTGTCTCTGGACTCTAGATGGCTCTTTCTTAGAGAGACAGGAAATGAACACCGCAAATCTGGACAAGAAATCAATGAATTGGAAGTGCTATGCAAATATTCTAAGGAAAGAGGTAATGAAGGGAATTCTCTTTGAACCTTGGCTT